TCCATGAAGCCTTTTTCTCCATGATCTAGCCCACATAGGTCTGGTTCTCTTTCACTTAGAACCTGCATAGGAGGGCAGAGGATTCAATCATTACCATGGCTTTTCTGAAATATATGTAAGCAGCTGGAGGGCAGGAAGTCAGCCTTAGGTGTCTGTGTGAGCTGTATGTCAGCTAACCCAGGGCAGGCATGTGGTAGGGGCTACACAGGTACTTGCTGGGTACTGTTGGGTACACAGGTACTCGGGGCTCTTTGAGACGTCAGTACAGACACTGATTCTTGGTGACTAGCAAAATTTTAAAAAGTGGGAGTGTATTTCTTGGAGGGCATGGAGTAGCTCATAGAAGGGGTGGAAAGAGTAAACTCGCAGACCCCCAGATGGCCCGTAGCACTAGAGAGCAAGGAGGAAGGGAGAGACAGACCCCATGGGGCACCGCCAGTCAGTGAATCCCCTCCAGCCCACCTCCCATGTTTTGTTTATTTGGCTGCGCCAGGTCTTGGTCACAGCCTGCAAACTCTCAGTTGTGGCATTTGGGATCTAGTTCCCTGACCAGGGATCGAATCCAGGCTCCCTGCATTGGGAGCGTGGAGTCATGGCCACCAAGTCACCAGGGAAGCTCCCCACCCTCTGTTCTTACAGCCCTCCACCCAAGACTCAAATTCCCAGTGCAGCCAACTACTGGCTTTATCACTTGGACAGGTCACTTAACCTCTGTTTGGGACTCCTTGTTGGCAGAATGGGGCTAACAATTAAGCCCACCTCCTAGAGACACAGGAAGGACTAGATAATTCAGTACATGAAGGTTCTTAAGGGGCCTGTGTTAGTTCCTTAGTTGCGTCAGACTCTTTGCAGCCCCATAGACTGCAGCCCACCAGGCCTCTCCGTCCATGGGATTCTCCAGGCAAGAACACTGGAGTGGGTTGCCATTGCCTTCGCCGACAGGAACGATAGAAAGGGAAGTTGCTTAGTCGTGTCCAACTCTGCGATCCCATGGACTGCAGCCCACCAGGCTCCTCCATCCATGGAGTTTTCCAGGCAATACTGGAGTGGGTTGCCATTTCCTTCTCCGCATAAGGGGCCTACCACCTAGCAAATACTGAATAGATGCTAGCTAATTTAAGGGACCGTTTTCAGTGGTCATTTTGACTTTTCACCTTGTGACCATTGTTTCCTTAAATGATACTATATCACATTAATGAATACTATAAGAGAATATAATGATTCTCCTTACAAAGAAAGGAAGATTAAAAATAACTTTTAAAACAGCCAGACAATTCAGCAAGTATCATTAAAGCAGGCAAAGTCTCAAGGTGTTGTAATGTTATGTCATGACTCCCAAGACTTAATTGGAAATACAAGTTATAGAAAATTACCTAGGAACCTCTTAAGTCAAGTGGAATCATGCACAGAAATGCATAGCTGTTGAAAATACCATGACATTTTTATTATAGTGGTGCTTGTGTATTTTTTTGTCTTTAAATTGTACATAATACTGTAAATCATTTATTACTAAGCCAGTATATAGACCCTCTGGGCTTGCCAGGTGGCTCAGTGGTTTTTGCCTGCCAATGCAGGAGACACAGGAGACTTGAATTTGATGCTTGGGTTGGGAAGATCCCCTGGAAGAGAAAATGGCAACCCACTCCAATATTCTTGCCTGAAAAATCCCATGGACAGAGGAGCCTGGCAGGCCACAATCCACTGGGGGCCATAATCCATGAGGTCACAAAGAGTCGGACACAACTAAGCATGCACTATGTGCTAGGTGCTGAAAGTACAAATATAAATTAAATAGGGTCACTCTAAGCCGAAATAACTTATCATCTGAAAGGGAGGGAGTATTTGTTGGTGATTTTTTAAAAAATATTTTAACTTATTTGTCTGTGCCAGGTCTTAGTTGGGGCATATGAGATCAAGTTTCCCAATCAGGGATTGAACCTGGGTCCTCTGCATTTGAAGAGAGGCCTCTTAGCCACTAGACCACCAGGGAAGTCCCTGTTGGTGATCTTGATGTCAAAGTATTTTTCTGATTTCACCTAGAAGCAGTACATTCGAGTTGTGAAGCTCTTATGGGTGCATGCTAAGTCGCTTCAGTCATGTCCAACTCTTTGCGACCCTATGGACTGTAACCCACCAGGCCCCTCTGTCCATGAGATTCTTCAGGCAAGAATGCCGGAGTGGGTTGCCATGCCCTCCTCCAGGAGATCATTCTGACCCAGGGATCGAACCCGCATCTCTTACGTCTCCTGCATTCTCAGGCAGGTTCTTTACCATTAGTGCCACCTGGGAAGCCCCGTAAAGCTCTTTGTGTGTGCATGCTGAGTCTCTTAAGTCACGTCCAATTCTTTGCGACCCCATGAACTATAGCCCACCAGGCTCCTCTATCCATGGGATTCTCCAGGCAAGAATACTCTCACCTATTATATAATAGGGTTACAGTTGGTTGCTCTCCTGTGGTAAGCCCATTTGCTGTTTCTTTTTTATCTGCACATCTTTTTGAGACCAACACTCACATCCAAAAAGGCAATTGTAATCAAAGGAAGACAAAAGGAAGGCAGTATTTTAAGGAATTCTGATCAGAACCAAGTTCTTAACAGCCATATTCTCTTGCCGGATGTAGATACTTGTAGAGAGATTCCAAAGCACTTAATCTGCTTGCCTGGTACACTTGATGATAGTGTAATAACCTATGGTATAGGCAAACATTGCTCTATCTAAGGAATCAAATTACCGTGAACATTAGGTCCTGTTTCTAAATGTTTTCCTTTTTTTTTGCAGGGTGATAAATGGGAGAGGGAGAGAGCTGACATGCATTTTTCAAATGCAAGTCAATCATTAGCGGAGTCATTTACAAAAGAACTTTGTATTTCCTGTAATCACTAAATTGATTGACCAGTCAGGAAAATATGATCCTTCTTTCTGTTTGGAGATTTGCAAATGGAATCATAAAATTGAATCCCATTTTCTTCTTAATAAACGGAATGTGGTTTTAAAACTTTTACTTAGTTATTTGGCCGCCTTGGGTCTTAGCTGCGTCACTTGGGATCTTCCTTGCAGCATGCCAGGTCTTTTGTGCAGGCTTCTTTCTCTAGTTGCGACACTCATGCTCAGTAGTTGCTGGGCATGGGTTCAGTAGTTGGGGCACTTGGTTCGTTGCTCTGGGCATGTGGGATCCTAGCTCCCCTTTTAATTCTGTGTCTGCAGTGCTGATTTGAATATGAGTTTCTTATTACAGTTTTTTATGTTGAACATTGTTTTTATTGTGTAAAGTACAGGTACGTTGTACCCCCAAGACATGTTAACCTTTTAAATTTTTTAGTTTTTTTTATTTTTGAGCGCACTGGGTCTTCATTGCTGTGTGCGCATCTCTTCCCCAGTTGCGGTGTGGATGGGCTACTCTCTAGTTGCAGTGTCAGGGCTCCTCGTTGAGGTGGCTTCTCTTGTTATGGTGGCTTCTCTGGTTGTAGAGCACGGGCTTTAGGGCATGGGCTTAGTTGCCTCACTGGTATGTGGAATCTTCCTGCACCAGGGATTGAACTCGTGTCCTCTGCATTGGCAGGCAGATTCTTAACCACTGGACCATGAGGGAGGTCCCCTGTTAGTCTTCATAAGATTGTTTTCTTTTGAACCTTAATTTTGTTTTCCTTCCTTTCTATTTTGATCCTAATGTCATATTGCATGCCTGGATCAAAACAGCCGTCAGTTTCTCAGATCCAGCAGATGCCTTGTAGCAACTTGGAAGATGTGGACATAAAACCACTTTTTTTTCTAAGGAATACCATTACAAATGAAATATGTTAATGATGCAATCAAAATAGATAATAATCTTTCCTAAGCTTTGCTATTTTATGCCAGATGCAGCACGTAAGATAATAGTGTATCTAACTGAGCCTAACTTAGTATTGGCATTCAACAAAAACTTGTTGCATTTGTCAATAAATCTTTATAATCTTTTTTTTTCCACCTTATTTTGGGGATTGTTGAATAAATGTCTCTTTATTTAACCACCAACTTCATGGGATAACACTGACAGAGCAATAAAATGAGAAAGACAAGCATTCTAAATGATCAGTTTGAGGCCTAGCTTTGACTTAGAAGATAAGGAGATAAGGATAAGGGCTCAAACATGTACTGCTAATAATAATTGGCTAACAGTTATTAAACTCTTATCAATTTATTTCAACCAATCTTATTTCAGCAACTGTGCCAAGTCATTTACATGTGTTTATTTAAGTCTAACAACAACTCTAAACTGCTGTTGTCCCCATTTTATAGATGAGATAAGCAAGACATTGAGGGCTTAATTTGCTAAATGACACAGCTATTAAGTCCCAGGGCTGGGATTTAAACCCAGGCAGTTTAGCTTCAGAACCTACATACATAACCATAATATGCTCTCTCTACTCTCCATGGTTCCAGGTACTACACTGGGCCATCCTTTTCAGTAACTTAAATGCCAACGAATTCTAATAACTATGCAAGGCAATATCAATAATTTATTTTTATAGATAAGGTAACCGAAGGCCTGAAGAAATTAATAACTTGCTCATGATACATAGCTAATCAGTCCCAGACCTGGGAATTTCCTTCAAGCCATTAAGGAGTCTACTCTTCAGTCACTCCAGCAAATTAAAGTTTATTATATTTTAATTCAATTTGGTTCAACCATGCTAGCACACCCTTCCATTATAGGTAATAGAGAATTGACTGCATTACATTAAATGTTCTGCAACAACAGCAGTAGTAGTACCATTCATTTCATACAAAGTTTGAAAGCAGTGACCAACATTTGCTCTCTGACTTGTATCCCTTCCATCTCCCAAAACCTCATAAGATACATAGAAGACAGAAAAGGGTTTGTGCCACAGGATGTGAAAGGCCTTGTCAGAACTGAATATTGACCTTTTGCCTAAGTTACCTTGCATACCCTGATATGAAAAGTTATCATATGACTCAAGCAAAGTCCAGACTGGGAGTCAAAGTGCTAATCTCTAACAGTAATGTGTACAGAATGGTCATTTTCTCCCTTGATGGTCAAAGAAAGCGTGTAAGTCAGCAATTACATAACAAACCACGGCAAAACTTAATGTCTTAAATTTTTTTTAATTTAAAAAGATTCTGTGAATTGACTGTTTCTTCTGGTACCACCTAGAGTCACATGGAACTGCATTCATCTGATGACAGAGGAGGGGTAAGTAGCCCAGGGTGGCCTCTCTTTCCTTACAGGCGCTTAATGCTAACTGTAGACCAGAGTGCCTTGTTTTTGTCCTCACGGCCTCTCATCTTCCAACAGACCAGACTGGACTTTTACTGCATGCCGAGGGGGTGTTCTCAGTCCCAATGTGGAAAGCACTAGGCAAGCCTTTGTACTTGTCACAGTTGCTGATGTCTTATTGGCCAGACCAGGCCAGGGCCAAGCTTAGAGTCATTGCAGGATGGAACCTAAACTCCACCTCTTTTTTTAAAAACATGTCACATGTACTTTCCCACCCCCAACCCCAATTTTTGGTTGTTCCATGAGGCATGTGGGATCTTAGTTCCCCAACTAGTGATGAAACTGGAACCCCCTGCAGTGGAAGTGTGATGTCTTAACCACTGGACCACCAGAGAACTCCCCCTAAACTCCACCTCTTGATGAGAACAGTGCAAAGAATGTGTAGTCATTTTTAATCCACATAGAAAGAAGCCAAGCTTCAAACAGCAAAGACCAGGGGTCAGGAAACGTTTTCTCAAAGGATAAGATAGTAAATCTTTTAGGCTTGCAGGCCTTGGGTCTTTGCAGTCTGGGGTATGAAAGCAACCATAGACAATATATAAGCAAAAGAATGCGACTGTGTTCCAGTAAAACTTTGCAAAAGCATGAGGTCCTATATGGTTGGTTTTTTTATATTACAAAAACTATACTATAGTTTGAGGACCGCTCTCAAAGACCACTGCAGGTTGAAATAGACTTTTAAGAGTGAAAATGAGAGAAGAAAGTTCCCAAATGTTGATCCCTTGGAGTTCTAAACTGACACATTTTCTAGGAATGGCTTTTTAAAAAATTTCACATCCTCCAAGAAAGAGAAGCCAGGGAAAGTCCAATGAAAATTTCCCCTACTGTAATTCTGGAAATGAGTTGAAGAGTGACCATTGTCAGACTTAATGAAGCAGCCATCACAGCCAGGTGCTGTGCTGAATCGCTCAGTCATGTCTGACTCTTTGTAACCCCATGGACTGCAGCCCACCAGCCTCCTCTGTCCATGGGGATTTCCCAGGAAAGAACACTGGAGTGGGTTGCTATGCCCTCCTACAGGGGATCTTCCCAAGCCATGGGTCGAACCCAGGTCTCCCGCATTGCAGGCAGGTTCTTTACCATCTGAGCCACCAGGGAAGCCCTGATAGCCAGGACACCATCCAAATTCAAGGATTCACATAAAACTTAGAGCAATATTAAGAACTCACTAGATACTTTATGGAAGTTATTTCATTTCATGCTTAAGAAATCTTGTTAGGTTAAAATTATTACCCCATGTTAAAGATAGAAAGATCGAACTTTGGAGATGTGAAGTTAAATGTCTCTAGTTAATGTTATTAATGTTAAAACCTAAACAGCCAATACTTGAAACCAGAACCAGAACATTTTCTACCACATACTCCACCACATTGCCCCTGCCTTTTGAGTTTGAAAGGAAAATAATCTATGTAGGAAAATAACTTATTGGAAAAATTATTTATAAAAATTATTTGTAATTACTAGTCATACTCACACACAAAATAGCATCTCTTCAAGTGCAGGAAAAAAGATGGGGAATAAGAGGAATTGGTAGTTTTCTCCCCCCTATTTTAAATATGGGTCATTTTCTCTGACTTGTGCATTAACAGAATGCGAGAGGTATAGTAAGGCCAAAAGATCAGGAGACAACTGACATTGAAAGATTAGTTTATTACAGTTTCCAAGAAAAGAGGACACTCTATGTCTTGGGGGCCACACAGGGAAGCACTGATGCTGGTCGTAGGGCAGAGGGAGAGGGAGGAGCTGTGAGCGAGAGCCTTTATTGTGGCTTCTGTGAGAAGGAACTGACCAGGCTAGGTGTGCAGGCTTAGGATGGATTGATTTGAATAATGTCAATGGTCTCTGTGGCATAGGGGCTGTCCCTACTAGCTATCTGGTACCTAGCCTTGGGGTGATGAGGGCATGTGGATAAATGGCCCTAGGTGTGAGTGCTCAGTAAAAGAGATCATTGGAATGTGAGCTCTGGATTGGCTACTTTGTATTTGAAAACTGTGCTCATGAGAGAGTTGTTTATTATCTCTAAAAATGTACTAACCTTCCGGAGGAGTAGTCCCTTCAGGGTCAGCAAGGCCCCAGATGTCAAAGCATCAAAATACAGAAAATAAAAGACAGTGGTTATACTACCACTACTACTATAGTGGGTTCTCTAATTTTTGCTTTTACTCCAAGACCTACAGAAATAACTGAGATAGTCAAATGTAATCAGAACTATCTAGAAAATAGCCAAAAACAAGGAAAGAATACAAAAAAAGGCTTCTGGTTCAAGATGACAACATAGGAAAATCTTGATCTCACAGAGTCTGCAGCTACGTATAGAACAATGTCTTTCAAAAACCTAAAGCCTGGCTGAGTGATGACTACACATCAGGCAAACAAGAGGAACTGCATCAAACTGAGTAGGAGGCTGGGATACAATCTTGCCATAAACCACACCCCCCAGCACAGTGGCACATATCGCAGAGAAAGTTCAAAACCTGAAGCTCCTCTCTGAGGAGCAAAGGATTTTATTTCCATACCAGTAACTTCAACTTTTAGGACCTGCACCAGAGAGATGATCCCCAACCACTTTGAAAATGAACAGAACCTGGGAGACTGTAGTAATCTGGGAGACATATCCTAGAAGGTCCGTGCGCTGAGAGGAGCACCAGGACCCAGCTCGTCAGCTGATCTCAACCAGATTTAAAGAGGCTTGAAGATCAGGAACAGGACAAGGGTGCCCACTATCACCACTTTTACTCAACATAGTATCCAAAGTCCTGGTCAGAGCAATGAGACAAGAAATAGAAACAAAAGGAATCCAAATTGAAAGGAAGAGGTAAAGCTGTCATTGTTCACAGATGACATGATACTATACACAGAAAATCCTAAAGATAACACTGGAAAGCTACTAAAACTCATCAATGAGTACAGTATATATTGTTTATTACAGTAGCTTATAGTTGTTTAAACTATAGTTGTAGTTTATGTTATAAAGTTGTATAGTACAAAATTAATATACAGAAATTTGTTGCATTTCATTCAGCACACTAACAACAAACTATCAGGAAAAAAATAATCCCATTTACAATCATATCAAAAGAATGAAATACCTAGGAATAAATCTGAGGTAAAATGACTGTACTCATAAAACTGTAAGAAACTGATGAAAGAAATTGAACACATTACAAAAAAATGGAAAGCTATACCTTGCTCATGGATTGGTAAAATTAATACTGTTAAAATGACCTTACTACCCAAGGCATATACAGATTCAATGTATATTTTCATTAGTTATGAAAATACCAATAGCATTTTTCACAAAACTAGAACAAATAGTTCTAAAATTTGCATGGAAAAACAAAAGACCCTGAATATCCAAAGCAATCGTGAGAGAAAGGAACAAAGCTGGATATATTACATTTCTTGAATTCAAACTATACTACAAAACTTCAGTAATCAAAAACCACATTATATGGCAATTAACCTATTATGAAGGAGGCAAGAAAATACAATGGGAAATAGCCTTTTTGAGAAATGGTGTTGGGAAACACTGGACAGGTACACACAAAATAATCAAACTGGACAACTTTCTCACTCCACAAATGTAAATAAATTCATAATGGATTAAAGACTCAAATGTAAGTCCTGAAATCATAAAACATCTAGAAGGAAAGATAGTGCATTCTTTGACTTTGGTCTTAGCAATATATTTTTGGATATGTCTCCTTGGGCAAAGGAAACAAAAGAAAAAAAAATAAACAGAACCTAATTAAACTAAAAAAGTTTTGCACAGTAATAGAAACTATTGACAAAGTGAGAAGACCGCCTAATGGATGGGACCTGGTGTTTGCAAATGATATATCCCATGAGGGGTTAATATCCAAAAGATACAAAGAACAGCTCAACATTTTTTTTAAAAAAAAAGCTGATTAAGACATGGGCAGACAGTCAGGATGGCTGCTATCCAAAAGTCTACAAGCAATAAATGCTGGAGAGGGTGTGGAGAAAAGGGAACCCTCTTACACTGTTGGTGGGAATGCAAATTAGTACAGCCGTTATGGAGAACAGTGTGGAGATTTCTTAAAAAACTGGAAATAGAACTGCCATATGACCCAGCAATCCCACTTCTGGGCATACACACTGAGGAAACCAGATCTGAAAGAGACACGTGCACCCCAATGTTCATCGCAGCACTGTTTATAATAGCCAGGACATGGAAGCAACCTAGATGCCCATCAGCAGACGAATGGATAAGGAAGCTGTGGTACATATACACCATGGACTATTACTCAGCCATTAAAAAGAATTCATTTGAATCAGTTCTAATGAGGTGGATGAAACTGGAGCCCATTATACAGAGTGAAGTAAGCCAGAAAGATAAAGACCATTACAGTATACTAACACATATATATGGAATTTAGAAAGATGGTAATGATAACCCTATATACAAAACAGAAAAAGAGACACAGATGTACAGAACAGACTTTTGGACTCTGTGGGAGAAGGCGAGGGTGGGATGTTTCAAGAGAACAGCATCGAAACGTGTATTATCTAGGGTGAAACAGATCACCAGTCCAGGTTGGATGCATGAGACAAGTGCTCGGGCCTGGTGCACTGGGAAGACCCAGAGGGATCGGGTAGAGAGGGAGGTGGGAGGGGGGATCGGGATGGGGAATACATGTAAATCCATGGCTAATTCATTTCAATGTATGACAAAAACCACTACAATATTGTAAAGTAATTAGCCTCCAACTAATAAAAATAAATGAAAAAAAAAAAAAAAGACATGGGCAGAGGACCTGAAGAGACATTCCAAAGACATACAGATGACCAACGGGCACAGGAAAAGATGCTCAGACTTCCCTGGTGGCACAGTGGATAGGAACCCATCTGCCAATTCAGGGGACACCGGTTCGATCCCTGGTCTGGGAAGATTC